GGAATTCTGGGAGTTGAAGTCCACACATCTTAAAGTGGTCAAGGTTGAGAAACACTGATACCATCCCAATCCAGTCTTTTGGTACTTATGGCTTAGGATTCAGGAGAAACTGGGCATGGGGCTTCTGTGAAGGCATCTGTCTGCTAATGAGGGACCATCTTGTCAGGGGTTATGTGGGCTCCCTAGAAACCAAGATTGCCCACCCTATTGAAAAGGTGGTTTAAATCCTAAGACTAAGGATCATGGTTTTAGATGTGTGTTTGTGGGTTAGCAAACCAGAGAACTGACCGAAGCTGCAGGACAAGAGAACATCACTCTTATAAATTAGACAGAAAAGCCTCTAAAGTTCATCTCCTCTCCAGTTAAAACCCATCAGGAAATCCCTCCCCACTCCAACGCTTTGGCCCCAAAGGGAAAGGAAGAGCCAATATTCATTTAAATACAGAGGAAAAGCACACACCCCATGACCTCTTCATATGATTTGTCATAACTGTTTAATCCCTGTAATGTTTTCCTCTTTTTAGAATCAGGCAGTAATGCTCCACCACTGGAATTTACCAGGCACCTCACTTTACAACCACCACACCTTGCATGTGTCAGCATGTGTCAGCCAGTTTTTAGCCTGCTTTTAAAGGCATGTTTAATGTTGATCAGAGTATTGCTGTTTCAAAATTCTGATACCCAGGAACAGACAGGAAGACTATCAGATTTCTTTAGAAGGCACCTGTGCAAAATCAAAGCTAATTCTGACAACCAGCTAAACGTGGTGTTCTAGCCATCTGTCATACCACACCTTCTCCCCAATTCCAGCCCCACCCACTAGGATGTTTTTCCCACCGGCTGGTGAATTTTGTGGGAGGAAAAATGAAGCTGGAGGACTCTACCAACCCTACGTTAAAAAGGGCAGCTCCACTTCTGGCCTTATTAGTGAGGTAGAATAGAGCTCAGCAATAAAAGCAAAGCAAAGGCTGTTCACAGAGAGAGGTTAGAAAAGTCATGATGGTGGATGCAAATGTCTGATCAAAGCCCCATCCCAACTTTACATGCACATGATGCAGGCTATAAAAGAGTGGGACTTCAGTTGTGTAGTTGCACCCACCATCTTAACTTTTTGACCCCCCCAGTGGACACCCCTGAAAACATGCCAGTATATTTTTCTCTAACTCAAAAATAGAAGGAAAACCTTTTAATTAATAGGACTGTGAGGAACAGCATCAGGATTGAATAAATGCCACAAATGTTGTCATTTCTGTTTTTTTTTTTTGTTCCTTTATCTCCTATGTTATTTTATAAAAAAAACATGCAGATTGTTTTGTGACCTGCCCTGTTTTAATTGTTATTTGTGTTACATGTGGAGATTGTGAAGAAAATATGCAGGCTTTAATAAGTCATACTTATTGGTTGCTTAAAGCAGGTAGAGATATAACAAGTAAACAAAACCAAAACCAGAAAAATATAGAACTGATCTATCAATAAAATGAATATATACAAAACTTGCATGCCAGTTTCCATTATTTATTTTATATTTATATCTTCCCAATATTATTTATAAAAATATGTGCTGTCATTTGATCCACATAAAGCAGTGCCACTAGAAAATTAAAACATATAAAACAATACCAGTATAAATTATAAGCATAATCCTATGCATGTCTACTTGGATATAAGTCATGTGGTAGTGAGTTCAGTAAACGTGTACTGAACTGCACTTTAACACAGCAATGTGTTGATGAAAGAACTCTGAACAACAAAATTGCATCAATGGGATGCAAATGAAGGGTATTTTTGTTAATAATTTTAATACATAATGTATATAAGTTATGAGAAATATTTGCAAATGTACACATAAATGTTCAAAAATACTATTAATAGCAACAGTGTTAGCAAAGAAAAACAGAGTAATATGCAGTAATTCATGCATTCTTGTTTTAATTCTTATTTTAATCCATCTAAGGATCCATTTAAAATCATTAAAAATGCATGAAGCACTTTACTAGTGAAATAGTAATACAGTGTTTTTCCATTTTTTTCAAGATCTGCACATGGTTTGGACCTCCAGAAGCTGTTGGGCTGCAATTCCCATCATCTCTCATCATTCGCCTTCCTTAGTTGGAATTCAGCAACTGCAGGTTGCCCGTATTTGGTGCATAGTTTTGAGTGATGGTTCTTATATGCTGATCCGCTTCGATCTAATAGAATAACATCAAATGCCGTATGTGTAATCTGACATTTTAAAAAATTGCTTGGGTATGGCTACATACCTCCAAAACAATGTTTAAATGTTTCAAAGAGATAGTTATACTTTGTAATTGTAGATTATTTATTTATTTATTTATTTATTTGGTTTCTATAGCCGCCCATCTAATAATACGATACTACTGCGTTGAGAGGGTGGTATAATATATGCGAGGGCATCTGCATTAATGAAGTAAACAGCCACGGCCCGATTGCAAAAACGCCCTCCCCAGCCCGATCTGCAATCATAACAAGAGGAGGGAGGAACTGGTAGGGCGGCGGGGAGAGAGCCGCGGCTTCCCGATTTCTTTGCGAGCGTGCGCTTAATTTGCGCACGCGCTCTTAGATGACAACAAAAGGACGGTGGGGTTTCGGAGCGGGAGTGTCTCCTCTCTCTCTCTCTCTCTCTCTCTCTCTC